TTTCTACGTTACCTTTCATTTTAGTTGACTTTAGATTTTTTTCGGGGGCTCTCGTGGCCTAGAGGTTAAGGTGTTGGCCTCTCATTCAAAGGTCCCGGGTTCGAATCCGCACGTTAAAGATCCCTTGGTGGTCTAAAATCGATAAGAGTAGAATTGGGTCGCCACCCGGGCAAAATTCAAAATTTCCTACCAACTGAAAATATTAAGTGTGTCCCACACGCTCATATGACCTTATGCAGTTGCGAGCACCGTAAAACACTTTACAAAAACGAAAACAAAAAGATTTTTTTCTGAAAATTAACCTCAATATAGTCAATTTGTTTTTGTGTTAGTAAGTGTTTTACGTCACTTGCAACACAATTAAGCTGTATGGGAATCAAACATTAGAGGATTGACAAGAGAGTAACGAACACAGAAAAGAAGGAGCACTTCAACTCACACAGCTGTTTAACTTTTACAAATGTAAGGAAGAAGGGGTGCTGGGCTGGTACCAGATAAAAAGATACTCCAGCGACTTCAACACCAGTGGAGTTAACTGCAAAATGAAACGTGTTATAATTGGGAAACCTTCCAGTGCGTATTGCGTGCATTAGTTTTAATGGTCTGATTTTCAGTAATGTAATGGACAGATTATCGTGGGTTTTTAAAAAAAATCAATAGCTGTAGGCACAAAGATTACTATGTCAGTTATTTGAAGTATTTGATATGAGACAAGATGTTGTCAACAGTTGAACTGTTTTTAGAGAAAGTTCGTGGATGGTTGGTGGGTGTTCTGATGTGGTTTGCTCCTTTTTTTCTATCGAACTTATCTTTCCTCTTTCTTTTTTTGTGTTTGTTACTCTCTTGTAACACCTCTAATCTTCAACACTTATATGACCTTATTTTGTTGCAAGTGCCGTAAAACTCCTACAAAAACTAAGAGATGGTTCACATCTGATACCCTGGAAATTTTTTTAAGGATATACAGTATACAGTGGGAGTCTGTTTTTTTAAAAAACATGATTAATCAGAAAATAGTGGTTTAGAGCCCCAATTTTTTTTCTTTTGTTTGATAGCATGTAAAACTGGTGGTTCTGTGATTTTTCTTTCATCCCGGGGTAGGAGATAAAGCAGTGGCTGTAGGTGCAATGCCACAAACAAAAACCCAACTCCATCACAGAGAGATCGTAAGAAAAATGAATGGGTATGTTGGTGTCTGTTGTATTATATTGAGAAGTTGTTTGAGGAGATAAAGAAGAGAAAGACGCTATTAAGAGCATAGTTGCTGTGTGTTGCTGAAGTACAAAAATTAAAATATAATAATAATAATAGTAATAATAATACCAATTGGAAGCTAGATTTTCCCCCCCTCCCAGAGCAATCAAGTCCCCTCATCCGAGAGATGGGGGCAGGGGAAGGCCTGGCAGATCCCAGAGGGTTAATGTTGTCAACAAGCATGACGTAAGTGGTGTCTGCACCTTCTCCGCAGTCATAGGACTCTCCGATAAGTGCATGCTTAATACATGTATGTAGCTGGGTATTCCCTACGTAAAGTCACATCCAGTACAGTGCTGACAATGAACCTCTGCTTTCCACCCCACCAATACCCGTCCCAACTCCAGGTCAAAGAAAGGTTGTCGACGAAGAGAGGAGAAAAGAAAAGTTAATAAATGTAATAAAGTAAAACAATAAAAACAATAAATAGAAAGAGTAAGAAACATAGTAAAGTAATATGTCTCTTTTCGGGGTCACCCCTTGACCTGTTAGCGTCCTCTTTTTCTTTTCCTATTCGAAGAGTACTAATCCCCCCCCCCCCACGAAGAGGTGGGTCTATTTGGGGGGGTCTTTTGTTTGACTAGCCTCTCTAAACGGAAAACCTGTCTAAACTGAAGAAAATCCAGCAGTCCCGCAGATTTCGGTTTTTAAAATCAAGTTTCTTTTTCTACAGGTGGATGTCCCCAAAGCGCCTGGGCTTGGTCTTGTTTTAGAAGAGGTTTGTATAATTTTGAAGTGACTAGTTACTTTTGTCATGATATAATTACCTTCATAAGTGTGGGTGATTGGCAGGTGCTCTAGTGTGGTTTGTTCCTTCTTTCCCATCGAAACATGAAATTCCCCCCCCCCCCCCCCCCCCCGATGCCCCTGACTGAAGTGTCTTAGGCCATTCCCATAGGGGGGACATTTCTCGTGCTTATGCACAGTAGAATTGTAAATGGGCTGATTCAACAATGTCATGCTCATAACTGTGCCTGAACTGCAACAGGGAACTGCTGCTTTTTCTTTCCTAATCCTTACTATCGTCATTTTCCCTCTACTTCTTTTGTATGTTTGTCACAATCTTGTGACCCGCTATTTCCGGGGTGCCTTGATAGTCGAAACAGACTTTGTGCTGTTGAAGCTAGAGAGGTGAGCAGAGTAAGCCAGAGTCCCTGTACTGTAAAGACTTCTCTGTTAACATCCACCCCTTGGCGCTCATATGACCTTATGCAGTTGCAAGCGCCGTAAAACCTCTACTAAATAAAAAAACATTAATCACCCTTACATCTCCTCCATTGTTATGTTTGTGACCTCTAGTTTTTGGCACTTATGTTTAATTACCTTTTTGTGTTGCAAGTGGCGTAAAACTCTTGCCAAAACTAAAAAACTAAACTTCATAAAAGCAGCTTTGACAGGGCTGCTGTATTAACAATCAGGTTGAAATACCTCTAGTTTTCTTAGAATTCTGTTGGGTTTTATTTGAAGAGACTTGAAATTGAATCTAATTGTATGCTTTTTAAGGCGTTGCATATTTATATTAAGTTTGAAAGAACAATTACGATTAGATCTATAGATATTCTGCTGATTCTATAAAAAGTATGAATATTAGGTCTATATCTTTTAGAAAAGTTTGGAGGAAGGGGGTTGGGGTGGGGGGGGGGGGGTTGAAACTGATAAACTCTGCTTGTATGACTATTGATCTGTATCAGAGTTCTGGGACTATTGTGATTGAACACTAGCTATGTAGAGAGGTTGTTCTGAACATTTACTATATATCTTCTTGTCGGTGGCCTAGTGGTTAGGCTCTCGGACTCGCAACCGTAAGGTCGTGGGTTCGAATCCTGTCAAGGGCCCGACGTTGTGTCCTTGGGAAAGGCACTTTACACGAATTTTCCTCACTTCACCCAGGTGGGAATGGGTACCCGGCTATAGACAGCGAAAGATCTTATCAGTTTGTTAGTGTTTGAGCGCTTAATCGGCTGCTTGCACTGTATGCTTCCCGGGAAGCTGAGAATGTTTCGGAGTGTTCTATGGTCTGCTGGGGTAATAATATAGTGTAAAGCGCATAGAGCCTGCTGCTGAGCGGGGATATGCGCTATACAAATGCTATCTATTATTATTATTACTATTATCTTATACTTGTACAGTAGACGGCTTGCGAGTTGAAAGCCAAAGTGAATTTTCTGCCAAACAGTAGACGTCAGTATTGTGAAGCCTCAGACTCTGCACGGTTATTCTCACTCCCTCATGAACATTTTATCTTGTTTTAGGGGCTGTGGGGTGGGAGAGGGCTTGCTGAGCTGAGATACAATCATACAGCAGCTAAGGGAATTATCATGAAGCTGTATACACCTTTGGCAAGGGGGCACGATATCATGAGAAATCAGCGAGGACATTACAGCTTGAGATGCAATTACCATTTCTTCTTCTTCAAGTGCCGTATCTGAAAGTGAAACAGATGTTGGCAGTCGTGCTTCACCTCTCATTTCTCTGTTCAGATGCTCCAAAAAAAAACCCAACTGTAATCCTTGTCTTTTCCCTTCTTCCATCTCTGCTTGTATGACTATTGATCTGTATCAGAGTTCTGGGACTATTGTGATTGAACACTAGCTATGTAGAGAGGTTGTTCTGAACATTTACTATATATCTTCTTGCCTCTATTATCTTATACTTGTACAGTAGACGGCTTGCGAGTTGAAAGGCAAAGTGAATTTTCTGCCAAACAGTAGACGTCAGTATTGTGAAGCCTCAGACTCTGCACGGTTATTCTCACTCCCTCATGAACATTTTATCTTGTTTTAGGGGCTGTGGGGTGGGAGAGGGCTTGCTGAGATACAATCATACAGCAGCTAAGGGAAATTATCATGAAGCTGTATACACCTTTGGAAAGGGGGCACGATATCATGAGAAATCAGCGAGGACATTACAGCTTGAGATGCAATTACCATTTCTTCTTCTTCAAGTGCCGTATCTGAAAGTGAAACAGATGTTGGCAGTCGTGCTTCACCTCTCATTTCTCTGTTCAGATGCTCAACAAAAAAACCCCAACTGTATTCCTTGTCTTTTCCCTTCTTCCATCTGTTCAAGCTCTTTGGTAAGTTTTGTATACCTCTTCCTCTTTTGCCTTCTGTTTTTCCAATGAGAGTACGATTTTCAAGATCTTTCAGTTGGTTCAAGTATCCCAGGAGCTGTGTTGGTCTCTTCCTGACTGTCATGTTTTTATAGTGACTGTCTCGTGCTGCTAGTCGGTGGTTGACGGGTGCTCTGGTGTGGTTTGCTTCTTCTTTCTTCTCAAACTAGTCAAATGTTTATCGTCTTTATCTTACCTCCTTCTTTTTTGTGTTTGTTCCTCTCTTGTGACACCTCTAATCCTCAGCACTTATATGACCTTATTGTGTTGCAAGTGCTGTAAATCTCTTACAAAAATGAAAACTAAACTGCCTAATGCTGACTCCTTTCAGCCCTGCCTTTTACAAATTCTATCATTAGTGGTTGTCATGTTTCCATTGCTAAGTGAGAGGATCGAGTAAAATGGGTAAATTTGATGTCTTGAAAATACAACCTCCACTCCTGCAGAACCTGACTGTAATCCTTTATCTTACTTTTTATGGAAGTCTTAACCCTCTCTTGACCAGTTGGCTAGAATAACCCTGTGTCTTTGTTTGTATACTACGAAAAGAAAAACAAAAGGTATGAAGACCAGGATATTTTGGAAATGGTATGATATTATAAAAATATATTCAAAGTTCCACCCCTTTCGGGCTTGGTCAGGAACATGAAAAAAAATATATACTCTATGATATACAATATAGCACGGATAGCTTGAATTTGTCGGGACCAGCCTCGGTAGTTCAAGTGATACATAGTTTGAGAGATATCTTACAAAGATAAAAAAGAAACTGCTCCTTTTTAAGTACAAGAACGTATCAGTATATAAGCCAGGGAGAAACCTAAGATCATCGAACGATAACACCCTACTTGTGACACCCATTAAATCATACAAATCATATGGAGAGAGATCTTTCTCATATCTTGGTCCGTTTATGTTGAACAGATTATCCATGGAACTAAGACAAACAAGAACACTTGATAGCTTCAAAAGACATCTTTAAGCCTTTTCTGTTCCTACAGGCCTATCCTTTATAAGCTTTTAGCGTTATTTTTATTATAGTTGTTCTGTGCCTACTTTTAAAGGAAAATAGTCTGTGTGTGTGGGGGGGGGGTGCATAAATGTATATTGCATGAGAGGAAAGGAAGTAGTCAGAAATATATTGAAAATGGGTTGTATTCTATTGTAAAGCGCATTGAGTTACTTTTTTTGGAAATGCGCTATATAAATGTTATATATTACTATTATTATTATTAAGTAAAGAAAAAAAAAACAGGACTGCAGGCACAGTTCGACGGATGCATGATTTTGAGTCTTCTGTGTTCGACCTATCCGTGTTCTACCGCAGTGACAACAGCATGTACAATGGTGTCTGTGTTTGCACATTGTCACAAGTGAAATGTTTTTTAATTCCAGTTACATTTTGATGGCTACAACAAAAAGTTTGGCTGTGACGGCATCCACGATCCTATTGACTGGACTCCATTCAGGGTTTGTAATTCTGTGAAATATGATACAACTTGAGTGATGTTCCTACTTATCACATTACACCCTAATTGGCCCGCGATCGCCCTAGAATTTCCTTACGCGCTCCTCCCTATCATAAATGCCTTTCACCCCTGGCTGGGTATAGGCCACATACAAGCTCCTTCCATTTATCTTTGTCCTGGGCCATCCTTCCCAGCTCGTTCCAAGTGAGCTTCATCTCTTTCATGTCCCTTTCCACACATCTCCTCCATTTTTCCCTGTGGCCTGCCCCTACCTCGTGCTCCCTGTGGGTTCCACTGCAGTGACTGTCTTGTAATGTTTCCGCTGTGCTGTCTGAAGGTGTGTGCCATCGATCTCAACCACCCACTTTCTTAGTCCTATTTCTACTTCTATTCCTTCTGTCCTGTCCTTTCCCACAGCTCTTTCATTTCTTATTCTATCCTGCCACTTAATTCTGAGGATACTCCTCATACATCTGTTGATGAAAGTCTGGACTCCACCCTAACTCACCCGCTCCGACCAGGCATCTTTAAAAACAAAGTCTTGCCTTATGAGACCAGGGGCAGAGATTTTGGTTTTACATATAGTTACTGCAAAATGTTTCTTCTTCCGTTTGATACCGAAACAAAATTTTTCAGGTTAGTAGTTTTAGTATGAGAGCAGATCGAAGTGCGATCACGTTTCCGACACTTTGTGTCTCGACTTGTTGAAAAGCGACACTATTGAGTTCGAAAATGGAAATATCGATGGATTTGAGCAAGAACAAACAAATGACAAATCAGATATTAATGAAAACGTAGCAAGAGCTTGGGGCGATTCTGATTAATCAAATATAGAATTTAGATCTAGGGCCCGACCGCGAGGCTGATAGTGACGGGTCGGACACCCACATTGAACTAAAGTTAGAACCTTTCCATCAGTTTGTGTCTACCTAGAGTTATATTTTTCTGAAACTACCATTTCTCTTTCTAATTTTTATTTTTTCAGGATTTTTGGAATTTGTTTAGTATTTTTAAAATGCGTGTATTCACGGGAGGTAGGTTCCTTCCCCTTGCTTCGGATCTAGGTGTAGACTTCCTGTCCAGACCCTTAGGGTGTAATGTGTTATTAAAAGACGTTGAATGTGATTTTTGCCCCCTTCGTGAGTGGTTGGTGGGTGTGGTCTGCTTCTTCAATTTCTATGGTTCTTGTCATGAATGAACTTGCCTTTTGTCTTGTATTAAATAACCTGTGCAAGGATGAAAAATATTTCTGAAACTTTAGCTGTACCTTTAGCATACTAATTTTTCTTGACATGTTATATTATAATTACAATGCATGAAGATACATGATGCCAATTTTCCTCTGTTTGCTTCTACACAGGTGTTTCTATCATTGTCTTCCAATAAATAGAGGGGGGAGGGGGGTTTCTTGATTCTACTATATGTGGGAACATTTTAAACTGCGTTCTTGTATTCTGGTTGTTCACCAGTGTATGGATAAAATGGCTAGGCTACTCTCCGAGTATGCAAGGATCATTTGGCCCATTTTATCATGTGGAAGGCATTTATAATTTCTCAAGTTTTTCTTACATGTGGGGCTGTTGTACCCTATTTAGCTCTATAGCCCTTATACTTATAAGCAAGGTTGAAATGGTCTACAGTTTTGTTGAAGGGATGAGATATATGCTTACATGTACACTAAGCATAGAGTTCCAGACTGGTTTCTCTAGCTGTGAATGTTCTTTCAGGGACAGTACATTTTGTGAAATACAAATAAATATCTGGTAATTTAACATTATTCAATTTTTGATTCTCTAATTTTATTCTTCTTGATCTTGCAGGAGTCTCAGGAAAAGTTCAAGGAGGAGCACATTATTTCTGACATTGTCGCTCAAGAGAAGGAAGACAGAGTGTATCCTTTTTGATAAAGAAGAGTTTTTCTCCCTCTAGAGATGTTCAATCAATATAAATAAAATCAAGCCTGGCTATTCCGCCACCTTTGGGGCTTGGAACGAACATGAGGTTGGCGTAATAGCGGGGCTGGCGGTTTAGCATGATTCCTCTGTTAAACAGTCCTGACTGCCCAACGTCAAGGGAAATGATTTTGCAGTATGATCCATGTTTCAAAAGGTGTCTTTTTGTTGGTTATTTATGTGTATACATGTATTTAGAGCTGGGAGTCTTCTCTCCCTCTTTCTATTTCTCTCTGTCTCTCTATTTCTCCTCCCACTCGTGGTGGCCGTGTGCGTTTAGGCAGAGACTCGTGTAGTATTTCTGGCGATAAAGGATTTCTTGTATTCTTTAGTTCCCATTGCTTGTGCCGAAGTTGTATGCAATGTATGATTGTGACTCCCTTAACTCTAGTTCAGCATGTTCAACTGGATGCGAACCCTACAGTTCCACAACTTTGGAGAGCCTCGCTCAGAAGGATCTGAAAAACCGTGGGCGAATGTGGCCAGAATGCTGAGGGAGAAGTCGAGCCCACCTCCCACTGAACAGACGACAGACACAGCAGCTCAGGAAGACGGAGAGCCTCCGATCGTTGGAGATTCAGCAGCTTGCGAGGTCAAGGACTCCACCAATTCGACAGTTCCTGAGGTTACCATCGATACAACAGTTTCTGAGGGTACCACCGATGTAATTCACAACTCCACCCCAGTGTCCCCCGTTAAGGCAGACACTGAGCCCAGATCAGAATCCACGAGTGACCTATCAGCAGAATCGGCATCGAGATAGTACTAGGAAAATGACTTAAGAATTTGCTTTCTCTTAATACCCTGAAATAAAAACGAGGAATAACATACACCTTGCCTTCTTAAAAAATTTCATTGTCCTACAATGTTGTCAACTTGTTGTAAGGATCAGTAAAATTTTGGCCTGTTATTTTGTATCTCTAAAGATGGCTTTTTAACAGTAACAAAAATATATTTAGATAAAAGCAAAACAAGGACAGCAAAAACTGGTTCCTTTTATCCAACATTTCCAAATTGGTATGTTCAGCAAAATTATTGGCAGTTATTAAGAAACTATATTTGTTTAAAGTTAACGCCTATTAATTATTAAGTAACAATGCTTGTTACTTTAAGCTGCAAAGTTTTTGTGCAGTTGTCATTTACCTATTGAATACAACTTTGACAAACAAATCAATTACTACATATGTATTTTACAGGACATAATTAATTCTACTCAACATGTCATATTTCTTCATCCTCATATAAGTCAACATGGTTTCTTTCATCGAAATTTTTTTGGGGAGCACCTGGTACAGTGGAACTCGGATTCAACGAGGTCGCGGGGCCTGACCTAAAATCTCGTTGAATCCCGAGTGTTCGTTATAGCAAACACAAGGTTTTGTGTAGACAATTACAGGCGCTGAGCAAAAAAAAGACCCGATTCGTTCAAATGCACACGCCTTTGTCATCTTGATTGTTTACCAAAAAGTTGTGTTGCTGTGTAGAGCCTAGCATAACGGCAACTTTTGATTTCATAGACCAGCGCACAATTCACCATTACGTAAATTTACGTCACGACTAGATCTAGCTTATCATTGTAATAATGATCAGTTGCCGAGGGGGAAAAAAGACTGACGCGTTTCTGTGATGTTCAACGCTCGGACCGCTAGCGCGCCAGACTCGTGCGCGAGCCAACAACGCATGTGTTGTTATGAAAAAAGGCTGCCGATTGGTCGCATGCAATCGGCTAGGTGAATAATGGTTCACGATGCAGTTGCAATGGTTTCTGGGAATAGATAAAGTTCGTTTTGGGAGAAAAATGAGCGAAGCCACGTCTGCGTGGGCTGTTCACCCTGCAAGCGACCTCGTTGAATCCGAGCTCGCTGATTTAAGTGCTCGTTGAATCCGGGTTATTTTGATTGATTTTAAAGAAGAAGAAAAACGGAATCTATCTCATCTCGTTAAATCCGAGTTCCACTGTACTGAATGTGCAAACGTGGATGCTTTCTGTCAAATTAAAAAAAGGTGAATTCTGCATAGATGTATAAGTAAAACTGTTCTTGTCAAGGGGTTGGCAATGTTATGGATTTTCAGTAATAAAATTTTTTAACATGCACAATTTACAGAATTCTAAAAGTTCTTTTTACTTTTGTAGTTATCTACTTATATATATATGTATATATTGATTGTTTCGTATGAGATCGGTGATTGATAGTAGATCTCTTGAGACTCCAATGACACACTGCAAATGATTTAGGAGGCATGCTGTTTCAAATCAAAGCCTCTTGTTAGGGCCAGCTCTCAGGCCAAGTGGGATGTGGCATCCCAGCTAGAAGAAGGAAGTAGATATGCAATAATTTAATAAAATAGACTTTCCCCCCTTAGGAATCAATTTGTTTTGGTGAGACTTTTAAGGTACTTGCAAAAGCAATTCGGTCAATTCAGTGCCGAAGATTTGAGATGTTACTAGTACTAGAGTATAACGTGCAGTACAAACAAAAGTTGAAGGAGAAACAAGGACGATAGATGTATTAAAGAAGGAGCAAACCAAACCAGGACACCCGCCGACCACCCATCCCCTTGAGAATAAAAGTCACAAATTTTGCATACAACGATAAAAAGCCTAATCATTACACCACAGACAAGATGTAGGTAACAAACAAATGAAGGAAATGTGCTTTCTTGTAAATGTGAACAGATTGAAATACAGTGGAAACCACGTACAACAGGCCCGGTAATATCATGGATCCGGTAATAACAGGGATTTTTAAACTCTTTCCGGACGTATCGCCAATATATCGGCGCGAGTCCACACCCCTTGCGGACGTATCGCCAATATATCGGCTGTGATTGTGATAGGATGCCTCAGTATTGTTTCGTTTTAACACGATCCGTCATTTATAATTACTTTTTATTGCTAATGAAAAACTCAGAAAGGATTTAGGAAATGAAAACATCTAGTTTCACTTTGTCAGTCAAAGCGTTGCTTTGGGGAAAAACGAATGAATTAGTTCTTGCAGTCTTGCATCAACAAAACGATGTAACAGGACTCAGTAGAAATATCATTACTCAAAAATTGGAATATTACTTTCAAATAAAAAGCTGCACATTCAGAATTTTATGGATTAAGCTCTTGGTCTGTATATGATAAGATAAAGATAGCTATGCTGACTTGCTGTCACATGTTTGGTGAAGTGAATGTAATTTTTTCCTTCAAAATTTATTTTTCTTATCACCATTTCTAACCCTTGTAATGCATACTTATTTTCAAAATTAATCCTTGTTTCATATTGGGATGTATTCCTCTTTCAATTTCCCTCAATTTGATATATCATGTTACGTTTTGAGTGATGGTTATGCTTCTATGAAGTTATTTTGTAACCACCTGCATAGCCAAATCGAGCCACAAGTTAATTATGTCTAGCCCCCAAAAAAACTACGTCCGGAAAGAGTTAAATCCCCGTTTTCCTCTACTCTTTGTCTCTATTAAAACTTACCGGCAATAACAGGGCCTCATCGGAGCCCAATCGCTTATAGCAGGGACAGGACAAAGGTTCGTTATCAATGTGTAAAAAGTAAGAGAGAGAGCGAGGAACGCAATGATGGAGCAAGCACACGCAGCGGGTGAAGCGAGAGACAGGAGAGGGCAGCGGTGTGCTGCAGACTGATCTTGCCCTAAGCCAAGCTACACGCAGCACGCGTACCTCTTAGTGGGTACATGTAGCAAGGGAAACTACCCCTGAATAAATGCAGCTGGATTAGTCCACAAATGTTTACTTCCCTTGCAGTTCTGATTTAACAGGGATCTGATGTAACAGGGCGTTATCTCTCTCTGGTCCCACCACCCCTGTTATATCAGGTTTCCACTGCAGTTAACGTATAAACCGAGTGCATTCGTTTTCGTCTCCGTTCCCTGTTGCTCCCAGCTTGACCTTTCCTCCCAGTTGCAGAATCATCGGGAGTGTCTCTTATTTCATCACCGGAAACTGAGTGCACCCCTCTCGCTTTCCTCTCCTTTTCCTGCCGCTCCCAGGTGCTGAGCCAACTGAAATTTCTCCCAGTTCTCTCTGGGCAAGTGATCAGATCACCAGAATTGTCTTTGTCCTCTCAACCTACAAAAATGGACTCTGTGTCATTGAACAAAGCGCTCATTGCTGCAGTGCAAAATTTGTTGTTCTTTTTAACATGGGGTCCAATGAGTTTCAGGTCGTATCTGAATGTAGGAAACACATTTTTCCTCATCCCTTAAAACTTCATCCAGAAGATGATAATATTCTCAAAAATCACCTCTTCGTTAAAAAAAAATACTATGTGTCCAGTACTGTTTTTGGGACTTGGTGTCTTCTTTTCACCCAAAACTGGATCGATAACAACAACAACCTGGATCGATTTCACCCAAAACGATAAAAGTTGTTGAAAAGCCTCCATTATTGCTCAACACAAGGGTAGCAAACTCAATACAGTCCATGCCGGCTTTAAGCACGGTCATCGGGAGAAAGCTTAAGCGTGCTTAACGCTGAAGCGTGCTTGAGTGCGAAGTAGACATAATCCAGAGATTTTCATGTTGAAAATTTCGCGTGCTATTTCCCTTTATTTTTAAGTAGGCATATAGCGGTCCCGCAGAGGTGTGCTTGTTCGTGTTTGTTTTGTGGTCCAATGGGAAATGAAAGCTTGATTTAGACAGCCAGTCACGATACAGCACACTAGGCCTACACACTACACACTGCCTGTGCGTATCACTGCCCGCCGTGCCACATTCATACCACCGCCTTCATCCCACCTCGCGCGTGATATACAATCTGTCAGGATTAATGGATAGCGAAGGTCAAAGGTGAAATCGCAGCTAGCCTCCCTTTCTCTTTTCCCCGACTCTTTGTATTTTTTTTTGGTTGTGTGTAGCTTTGCCCTAGGCTAGATCCTATGTCCACGCGCGCGGCTGTGTGCATCTCTCCTGCCTTCCTCTCCGTGTGTGTGAGTGTGTGTCTCTATCACTTGCGTTCTTTGTGTTTCCCTTAGCACACTCCACTGCTGCGGTGTAGACTGGGTTCGAACTTCAATGGGTCATCATGAAAATATTGACTGTCTTGAAAATGAAGCGTGCCTTTAGCCGAAGTTACCGTGCTTAAAGGCGTGTAATTTATATAGCAAAAATTCAGTAAGAGCCGTTTAGCGTGCTTGAGTCCGAAACGTGCTTAAAGCCGGCACGGACTGTAAGATGTACATCTAAACTAGTCAACAAAAGTTAAGGAACGTACTGTGAAAACAGTGATATATTTGCATGCATTCTTTCGAGGTTTTACTTTTACTCGTAAAACTAGATATTGGTGAAATGTTACTCTCTGACTAATGGGATTGTACACACCAGGGTTTGAAATGCACGTGAGGCCTGTACGATGAGCTGGGGAGGGGGCAAAAAGGTCCAATGTTTTCCAATTATCGATTTTTATTCTCTCGCTCTAACCATCAGGAAAAATTGTGAACGCTCAAAAAGCAGTTTTCAAATGCAAGATTCATGTCTCGTGGGTGACTTGCACTCGCTCATTTGCACTGTGGATACACCATTCTGCTGCTGTAGGGCTAAGCGTAAACATGCCTCCTCGACAGAAATTGTCTGATGTAATTTTGTAAACAAAGGATGAGCCATTGCTTGGGTACAAGATGGTGTTTCACTCCGACAAGTTGCCACACGTCCTCGAGTGTCCGTTTCTGTCATTTCACGGCTGATTGAGCGTGCCAACACCACTGTAGTGCCCAAGAGCGACCCAGATCAGGTCGACCAAGAACCACTAATGCAAGGAAAGACCGATTCATTCATAGACAGGCTCTGCAGTCGAGATCCGCTCCTGCAAATCGCATCCAGACACGGCTGAGAGCGGTAACTTGTGTAACATAAGTTGTCAGACAGTACGAAGATGTCTTCATGAGTTTGGACTTAATGCACGTCGACCAGCAGTCCGTCAGCGTCTCACCCCAGCACACAAGGCTGCTCATCTTTTTTGCCGGCGCCATGTAAGATGGACACGTCAATAGTGGACAAATGTTCTCTTCAGCGACGAGTTCCGGTGCTCTATGCATCACAATGACGGTCGTAACAGGTTTTGGAGGCGACCCGGAGAGCGGCTCCTCGATGCAGCCGTCTGAGAAGAGATGCCTTTTGGAGGTGGTTCCGTGATGGTATGGGGTGCTTTCAGTCTGAACCACTGAACACCTCTGTACCATGTCAAGGGAATCTCACTACAATACGTTTACCGAGATGAGATACTCTGTCCATTAGCACTACCTACTCTGCAGAAGATGGGACCTCACGCGGGGTACCAAGATGACAACGCCCGACCTCATAGAGTAGAGCGTTGCTTGTCCAAAACTTCATGTAGCTGGCTGGCTTTAAGCTAATGTCCGGACATGAATCCCATAGAATACCTCTGGGATGAGCAGCAACGTCGAGTCAGAGGCAAACATCCCCCTCCAGGAGACACGCAGCAGCTGTTTCAGATGCTGCAGGCAGAGTGGCAGGGGATGCCTCAGAGAGTGTTCACCAACCTCATGAACTCGATGAGGAGCCGGTGTACTGAGTGCTAGGACAATCGTGGTGGGCATACTCATTATTGAAATCATCGGAGCTGTTTTGTTTTTGTTGTAGTCAGAAGTTAGAATAACTTTGAAACCAGTGGAAAATTTTGGGATTTGGGATTTTAACCCCTACCAAACTCAATTAACTTTTCAAGCAAGTTAAAAAGGAATAACTTAATTTTCTTTTTTGTTACTTGCTATACACATGTTGATCAAAATGTGTACAAAATTTCATTGCGAGTTGAAGTTTGCTTTCGAAGTCATACACTTTTTCTCAAATGTTCCTTAATTTTTGTTGACTAGTTTATTATGTTAATGACAACACCGAATGTTCATCAAGTTCATGTACGGAAAGCGAGCGGAGACAAAAATGGGTCGCATTCATTTCCCTCCCATTTTTATGCCGATCAGGGAAATGGGTCCGACTGGAAACGAAAGAGAGCGCAGAGGAACAGGACAATGCACTCAGTTCATGCGTTAAGAAGCAAACAGCATCAATTTTTACAGTAGATTCTGAACCTTTCCGTCAATCCAAGTGCTGGTTGCCCAACTTTCTCCTTTTACTTCGACTTACTGAACTTGTTTTTGACATTTATCTTCAATTGGCCAAAACCGAGGAAAGGCTGGGAGAGCCATGAAAATTCCTCAATAAGTTCAATATGACCTTTAATTTCCAGAAAGCCCTGCTTGATGGTCGCCTGCACCACACAGGAAATCAACAAACACGGTAAGATGAAGCTGTGAGCGTGTAAAATCGCACTTTACCTTCACTGTGATGTATGACTGTACGGTAGACCACCTCGCTTAGATCTACATTAACCACAGACCTCTGGTCTATTTTTTTTTTTTTTTTTTTTGTTAAGTGTTATACAGCACTCGCAACTGCACAAGGTCATTGTCATACGAGCGTGTGGGACACATTAAACATTAAGTTTGGTAAAAAAAAAAAAATAATAACTTTGCTCAGGTGGTGGCCAAAGCCTTTTCTTATCGATTTTAGGACCACCAAAGGATCTTCAACCATAATTTAACGTGGGCAGCTTGCATACAGGACCTCAAAGATATTTCGCCTTTACCTGAGAAGGGTAAGTGTTAGATCTTACCTACCATAGGATCGGGGATGTGGCTGAAAGACAGCAGTAAGGAGCCAAGGAGTTACAGTAGAAAGGCTGCAGAAAGAGTCAGGAGCCCAGAGGAGGGGACAGAAACTAGAAAGTGGAGATAAAAGCAGATGACAGAACTGAGAACAAGGTTAGATAGAGCAGGAAAGTATGTGAAAGCAGAAAATTTTCCATCACTGTCGGGTTTCAAACCTGTTACCTATTGAATAAGAGCTGAACACCGTAACCTCTAGACCACAAGAGCCCCCCCCCTCTGGTCTTTTGTTTGTTTTAGTAGAGGTTTTACGGCGCTCGCAACTGCATAAGCCCCCTCTGGTCTAAGCGAGTTAAAAGCAGACTAAGGATCACCATTGTGTTCTATTTTTCAATAGAGGTAAATTACACTTGTAAGCAACAGTAGGCTACATGTGGTAAATCTAATTAATTGTGATACAACCAGATAAATAAATGTGCCATTTTAAAGTACATCTTAACTGCTTAGTGTAGGATTCCGCCATACACCAGTATGAAAAGTGACATAGGGTATGATGGAGTTTTACACACAACACTGAGCAGTTGATCTGTCATGTCATGGCTCAACATCCACATGTAGTTCCACAGGCTTCCCTGTGAGTGTGACTTATTAAAAGTTTAAGTTTTCTCCGATGAAGAATAAGATTCAAGAGTCTTCTCTTTCAGACAGGTTCGCCTTATGCATAGAATGTGAGTGTACATCCCAGGTTAGGGAAAATATTAAAAGTATCTTTGTCCCTCTGAAGTATTCCAAATAGTCCAGGCCTACTCTTCAAATTGTGTTGACAAGGATGTAAAACACTTTGCTAGGCGTCAGTAGCCTGCTGGTGGTTAGGCTCTCAAACTCACACGCTAAAAACGTGGGTTCGAATCCAGACATTTTGGCCTTGAGAACGGCACTTTACACTAATTTTCCTCACTTCACCCAGATGGGAAAGGGTACCCAGCTTTTAAGACAGTGAAAGATCTTGTCAGTTTGTTAGTGTTTGAGCGATTAATCAGCTGCTTGCATTGTACGCTTCCCAGGAAGCTGAGAATGTTTCTCAGTATTCTATGGTCTGCCAGGGTAATAATTAGTGTAAAGCACATAGACCTTGCTGTCAAGCGGGGATATGTGCTATACAAATGCTATTTATTATTGTAATTAACATCAATACAATAACAGTCATATAGTGCAGGAAAAAAGCAAGACAGAAACAAGAGGGAAAGAAAAGAATAGGACCTATCAGTGACATCCTCGAACCACCCGCAGAACATTTTGTCTCTTTCATCTTTCACTTTCAGAACAGCATGAGGTAAATGCTCCTCTGAACAGAAAACCCTTTGATTCTCTACAATTGACAAATTCCAAAACAAGGAAATTAATTATCTATCTTCCTGCTACCAGTACGACATTAAGTCATAGCACTGACCTAGAACAGACCTAGTCTTACACAGTAACAATCATTTTGAAAGCGAAACACATTACGTGGTCCCTGTCGTCAGGACACCAGGATAAGAAAAAATATTCCAGGACGGATGAGAAAATGTGGATTCCAACCAAACTGATCAAGTCTGAAACCTATTGAGACAGCTGTTTGACATTTTCTTCCGTTGTGTGTTTTAGGGAAACAGAAAGTATTCAGTATGTCAAAAAGGTTTGGAGCAATTTCTTAAAGAGATACCAAACCAGGGCTTCCTCTAGTAAAAATATAACCTGGCCGAATACCCAACTCAATTGACTTTGTTAGCCAGAAATGAAAGCCACTTCATTGTACAAACAGCAAAGAATTTGTTCACCAAAACCCAATATTGGCAGCACTAAACAAGATAAACTTATTATTACTGTCAGTACATGATGCACAGAGTAAACAGAAAAGCCACATTTCACCAGTAGTCATCAACATGGATGAACTGAAGCAGCACAGAAACTAGAGAGCCCTCAAACCACCTAAAAACAGCAAGAGGCTATTCTTCTACTCTACATAATTCAAGAATGAAGTACATAGGCCTAAACGAGCCACGCCAAGGACTTGTACATTTTCCAGAACCGTAAAAACAAAGCCTTTGAAGACACTGGAAAAAGTCATTTAGTTTATTATTAACAAGTTCTTGTGGAAGAAGACGAGCAGTACTCTTACTTCTCCCACACAAAAGACATCATGATATTTATTGGAGATGATTAATGAGATGACCATTATTGTCGGCAAGCCGCAGCACAAAACAAACGGTGTCGCCCTCTCATGCTTCGCAACACACAGGCCTCCACCCGCTGTGCTCTACCAGCCCAACAACGCACGATCAGAGAATCAAGATGACCAAAAAAAAAAAAACCAAAAAAAAAAAAAGGACAAATATGTCACTACAGTGCTACATATACAAATGGAGAAGAGAGGTTTTTCAATTAAAAAAAAAAAAAATTAACCGACACTGAGTAAGTGAAGAAAAAACAAGTATATGACAACTAAAAAAAACGTACAATAATACACATGAGCAGGGCATTTCACTTGGTTTCCTATCCAGTCACTTGGCAGACTTCTGTTATTACAGTTATAGAGCAGGGTTAGCAGGACCTCATATGGTAAGACAATGCACGATATAATTAACACCAGGAAAGTCATGAGACAACTACCACTAAAACTACAAGTACACCTTTGTATTGGTCTGGGTTGGTCTGTTTTTGCTCATCTGGGACGTAAATTTCAACAGAATTATAAAACCCATCTTTTTTTTAAAATTGGTACTCTTCCTGTGTTACTTCACTGACAGTCCAAAAAACTTGAGGGACTACCATCAACATTTCTGTAGTCACGGACGTAAAAGGACGAGTCTTCATAAAATGAGAAAAATAAACAGGAATTGTGATACGCAAACTAGACATTGGGTTAGAAAACTGCATAGAATCAGGGGAGAAATGACACAGCTGGAAACTAACACGAGGAGAACCTGATGAAAATGCATAGGGAGTCAACATGAGCTTGGGAATGGGAGGGGGCGGGGTTCTTTTTGGCTTATGGAACTCTACTGGTTACATGCTGTATGTCACTGAAGGTAAACACTTGCCCATTTCGTACACAGATATAATACCCACAGCTGTCCAAAATTCTTCAGGATTGACGTTAATTCAACTGGACTCAATTTGAGATCTGCAAAACATGCGCATTAGTTTTTAACGATTTCTGCCAGACACGGTTCAGTTTTACATAAAAACGGGAGACCACTGAGACCACTAAATTTCAAGCACAGGGGTTGAAGGTGGTTAACAAAAATCAGATGGAAGATCCTTCACATACAATACTTCTAAAGTACTTGAACCCTGATTCCTTTCTGAAAAGCAATATGCCGTCTATCTCTGCAATCGGACACACAATGATGGTCTTATAACAGGACAACCAATGGCCAATGATACAAGTCAAACTGTAGTCAATTTTAACTCCATTAGACATGAAGGTTTATTCTTTACATTAGAGGCCCCATTGGTCATCCGACTTTTGGCTCTAGACAGCATGCAACCGTGACTAGCTGAACAAGTGTTCACCGCACCTCAGCCAGCACAAGAGGACTGATGCACATATGTGATGAGGGAGGGGATTTTTTAAGAATTTGTAGTTATCCATCACCATTGTCAATACCAATTTGACCATGACAGCAAATCTAAAAACAAGAAATGGACGATAAGAAGTGTTAAGTGATAATGTACACAGTGTATATACACAAATGATTGAGTCCAATTACGTCATCAAGCCAACAAATGAAGTAGATTATAATCATTTCAAACCAAGTAGGACATTAACAATATCATGCTACATGTACTTCAAGTATTGTAGTTCAAAATGTGCGACTCTGGATGCGCAAAAACTCAGTATTAAGTTGTGAGAACTCAATCTCACTAATTTTTTCATGTATCATTTAGGACGAATTCAGTAATATAATATTCTCAGTGCATTTTGAATATGACTAATGAGCATACATTGGTGACAAGAAACGAAGTAATGAAATCGCTGTTTCTTGGAGCAACAGTTTGGGATACGACGGACATGGGACAAAATAAGAAAATACAAAATCAACCAAATATTCTAGCTTTCTGTACACCCATCCCATATGAGACACAAGTGGACAAAATTTCCCTATCACTCCTTGAGGAGGATCCTCACTGGTACTATTCATTTTCACATCTCAATTTATGTTCCATCAATACTGATACACGTAAGCATGTCTCCAATCTCACGCAGCCCAAAGAAAATCCGACAGCAACATAAGCGCATTCAGAAAGGCTAAGCCTTTCAGTATAGTGTGAGTAAAAGCACCAGTTCAGCCCCCTAACAGTACAATGCTTATTTTCTAATACAGAAAACAAACCATAATTTTAATTACCCACACTGAAACATTTCTTGCTATGAAGCATGTCTATCTTTAACGGCTCTGCCCCATTTTCATAGTTCATAAATAACTTTCCTGACCGTAAGAATTATACGTTTCGAGGGCATTACTGTGACAGTGCACATCAGATGAAAACAAACTTCAAAGCGTTGTATCATCAAGTGCAAAACCTAGCGAAACTTCAAGACCATCAAAATGGAGAATAAAGACCAAGCTCTGTCAAGACACACTTCCACAATAAACAGATTTTCTGGCTCTTTTCAACTGTGATAATGTTCTTTCAGAAGACAAACATCACAAATCTATAACCTGATTAACATTGTGAACCGAAGCCCAAACCTTGAGGTCCATATAATTTTTTTGGGTATTGTGATACTGACGCTACTGTTCAGAGTCCACCGATAGTAGCTAGTCCTTGAAAGAGCTGCAAAAACTTAGCCTCTATATGCTCTTTCAACTTTCAAAGACAAGATCCAGCACACTTGTCACTGCTTTCTATCTGGGTTTAATATTCACTTCAACACTAATGAAAACCAAATCTGCCAACCTATGCAACAAATATAAAAACAACAATTAATACGTTCCATTTTTTTTCGTTAAATATAAAGTCGTGGAGTCGTACAAAATATATATATATATAATATTTATATATATATATATATAACGTTATGCTTTATAGTAATATGATAGTTTTACAATAAGCCAACACCTTATTGTAAACAAATCTATACAATTTATCAACAATATTGAATATGATAGATGGTTTTAAAAAAAAAGACGATGCCTGAAATATTGTACATGTATATTGTTTTATTGACATTTTTATACCAGAACTTAAAAAAGGGGGAAGGCGACATTGTTGTATCAGCAAACATTCAAACATTCTGAGATGAGAGTTTGTGCTTCAATGAGTCTTTGGCAATCACCAAATCCTTTGAGAATGAACCCTGTGTTTTGTATATTTTCAAATAACGCCCAAATATGTGCCATCAGTAAATTATGCTTTAAGAATGTAGCTAGCCAGAAAAAAACATTAACCCTCTAGCATATTTTGACACGTAAAGCATAAAAAAAAAATCAAAATGATTATGTTTTGCAGTGACAAAGATGGAACGTGAACCAGAAATCTCAGAATGTAACATGAATGAACCAGAAATCTCAGAACAGAACAGACTTTCTGGAAAATAAGTCCACCTCCATTCAAATGTGAACTTGCACATCTATAGAGACATTCTTTAGCACACAAATTGAAGACCATGTGAACAGAGCACATGCATCTATTAGTAACCAATTTAATATTTTATATGGATGCACGACATAGCATTTCTTTATACAAAAAAAGATGACATGAATTCATGGGGGGAAAAAGCAAGAAGAGTGACCAACCATACAACGCACCGTACTAGGCTACAAAACATTACATGCAAATAAGGACATCTGTGAACATATACAACACCAGCACAAGAAAGTAACGTAACTTTCAATGGTCATGAAATTCAACGTCATTTAATGTGGACCTGGTAATGTGTCCTTTGAACAGTATGTCTGATGCAAGTCATCAAGGACAGAAGCACGCACACATGATAAATTCCCAACAATGGACACAAAAAAACCCACACCAGTGGTGTAAACAAACATCCTGCTGATGCTGTAGTGGATACTAAATTTAAACATGCAACTCAACACATGTGCATACTTTTCTTTAAGTCCAGAAACCTCTCACAAGAACTTGTGAGTAAAATAAAAAGATGAGTGATAACATTTTCATACTAACAACTGTTCAAAGTTGTGAAAATTATTATTTGAGATTTGCCCTCTCCAAGGGCCATAAAACATTCTGTTTCAGCTTTACATGAACTTCTGACACATCTGCATCAATAAGCATGTGCCAAGAACAAAATCATGTCATGGCTATTACGTTTCGTGGATTGAAATAAAAAAAGACAGGTAGCAAGACAGTTGGACAACATAATGCTGCCCCTCTGCCACTATTCATTTCTAGCAGCAGCAGCCCTGCTGATGAATTCGTACTCGTCTCTGTATAATTTTATTTTTTTGGTAAACCTGACTCCTCTGCTCAAGAGAAAATCAACAAAACTCAACCTAAAACTGGAGAAAAAAAAAGATTTTCATATTTAAAATGATAACGTTTTAATCATAAAACTTTTTGCACCTCTAATTTTATATAGCAAAGCTCAAAGGTGCGATAATGATTCACTGATTAAAAAAAAAGAAAAAAAGAAAAAACATAAAGGTCTTCTCTTATTCACCCCAATGTAGAGACACAAAGACACACTATGCATATTTCAAAAAGGAAAACATTTGCTGTATAGTATATACAAAAATATCTACTGCTCTCTCACTACATTTTAAAACATCTTAATACGACAGAAATTATTTCATGAAGATGTTCAATTTGCATTCTTACATGTGATCCCTTGCTTTGTACGCAGAGACAACAGAAAGAACACCTAAAGACATATGAGCTTTTCATCATGAACATGTGGACAACTTGCAACCAACACAACCATAATTAGAAGCCAGTTACACGCTAAGATTTGTGGAATATTTGAACATTGTTGCAACAAGACACCCTCCAGTCAAGGCCCGTGTTTTGTTTTTGTTTGTTTTTTGTTGGTTTTTTGGTTATCCCCATGTAATCGTGAAATACAAGTTTGATTAAAAGTACCTGTCATTTCAAAGCACCGAACGCATCAATTTTTTGTTTAAGTTTTTGTTTTTTTAAAAAGACAAACAATTCTCACACTCGCTGGCCTTTCATTCAGACAGATCAGAGCCTCAAGACCCCTTCCTGCTCATGAGTACATGCTGCCTTCAACCTTTCCCCCCCACCACCAAGCCCCTCCTTAATGGGCAGGGCTGGGGTTTTCCGGCTTGGGCACATGATTCCCAGAGTCTGGAGCTGTGTGGGCGGTGGTCAGAATGGCCCCTCCATGAGACACGGCAGGATGGTCTGTTGTTGAATGAATGGCCACAGCTGCGACAGCCGGGTTAAATGCTGGATAGCCCGCAGCACCATTTATACTGTCAGCAAACGGGCCTGCTGGGGGAAAAGGATAGCGCACAGAACCTGGGGGAAAAAATTGATAAAAAATACAAGAGTGTTATAACAGACTTCAACTAAGTCCTTAAATAACTAATGACAAGTTGAAGAAGTGGGGGGAGGTGTGCGCACAATGACACAGCTCAAAATAAAGATCAAAGAAAAGGTGTCAGAAATATAACCAGTCAAGTCATTTTAGAACAAAAGAAAAATGTGACAACACTGAAAGAATACCCAGAGAACAAAACCAAACAACCCCCCCCCCCCCACACAAAAAAAACATTAAAAGAATAAAAAGCACTTGGTTAACATGTCCGAAAATTTGAGCTTACTCCCAAGAACTAGAGAATAAATGTCAAATATTACACTTTTTAGGGGGTTTCATTCAACACATTCAGTGCTATTCACCAAGATATACAGTGGAACTCGGATTCAACAAGGTCGTCGGGCCTGACCTAAAATCTCGTTGAATCCGAGTGTTCGTTTTAGCAAACACGAGGTTTTGTGTAGATAATTACAGGCACTGAGCAAGTAATGTATAAAAAGAGAAGTCACAAGTAGTGCCTGAAATGTCTGCATATTATGAGCTGTGTAAAAAAAGACAGATTCGTTCAAATACACATGCCTGTGTCGTCTCGATTGTTTACCCACAAGTTGTGTTGCTGTGTAGAGCCTAGCATATGGCCAACTTTTGATTCCATAGACCAGCGCAATTCACTACGTAGATCTACGTCAAGACTAGCTTATTACTTATTATTGTAATAATAATCAGTTGCCGAGGGGGAAAAAAGACTCACGTTCAACCTCCGGACCGCTAGTGCCTGCGCCCCCCCCCCCCACACGCACACACGAGTGCAGGTCGCCCATCTGACCCCAACACACGCCAGAGTAGACACGTGCGCATGCCAACAAAGCATGTGATGGTACGAAAAAAGGCCGCTGATTGGTCGCATGCAATCGGTTAAGAGAATAATGGTTCACGATGCAGGTGCAATGGATGATTTCCCGGAATAGTTCGTTCTGGGAGAAAAATTAGCAAAGCCATGTCTGCAGGGGCTGTTCACCCAGGAAGCGACCTCGTTGAAACCGAGCTCGCTGATTTAAGTGCTCGTTGAATCCGGGTTACTTTAATTGATTTTAAAGAAGAAAAAAACCCCGGAGAATCTACGTTGAATACGAGTGAATCCAAGCTCTTTAAATCCGAGTTCCACTATATATTGTCGGCCAGCTTTTAAGATGTCCCAAGCCCAAAATTTTACTGCAGTTTCATAATTCGGTGGTATGTGTCAGTTGCACGCGCTCAAAAAAGAAAAAAGAAAAGAGGACCCATCAAAGTTTGATGTTTTCTCCATTTTTCAATTAACTTTATTCAACCTTCCCATGCTGTCACTTGAACCAGTGGGAGAATATTGCATCAAATTTTTTTTTTTAAATTGGTGCAATTTTAGAAACAATAGTGCAACCTTACATTTCGTTTTGAGAGCACTCTCTTTAACAAACATTTTGATACAGAATAAAGCCATTCATAGAGTTCACATCAATATAATAATATCTAGATCTGTTTTCATGTGCGGACTGTCTATTGAATATGACTATTTAATCTATTTTCTAATTAATTTGGATCCCATTTTCTTCGTTACTTTGGTCCTCACAAACTGGTAAAATTGGGGAGTCAGATAGTGACGAAGTGCTTGCCATAATATTTTGTTTAAAAAAAGTTTGTTCCAAAAAGGAAAATCCGTTATACTGTAAAACTCGCCTAAAACGAAGTCGGGCCCGACCTCCAAATTTGCAGAATCTGTGTTAGTTATAAAAGAGATGTAAACAAGGGCATTTTAAAAAAGTAATAATTTGAGCATCAGTTTTTAAAGGGTCACGGTGCGAGTATAAAGGGACAGGACAAATGGTGCCCCGGATTGCTTCCCTCGAGGTAGCTCAAGATCAATAATAGGCTCAACCTTCAACAAGATTCACTATCATCTCCTCCCCCCCCCCCCCCCCCCCTGTTGATTTTTTTTCCATATTGAAAACATTAAATACCCTCGGTTGACTTTTTAAATTGGAAGTCTCGGTGAAAGTGCGTGTATGTGTACGTGGTGAAACATCAAACCAATGTGCCAAGATCTGGACAACAAAGATGTATCTTATCGTAAGATGACATTGTTATTGCCCTTGATGTGAGCCTTTCTTTTTTGTTTCTTGCAAGAGGACAGAAAATTTTGTCCCATCCTGAAAATATTCCTTAAATCCTGATAACACAGCTCGGCACTTTTTCAACAACTTCTTGACAGGCAACCCAGACACAGAATAGAGGGAAACATTGGGAAAGCTTTTGTATATCAATATCAGAAGACTTGGATCAGTCAAGATTTCAGAAAAATGGATAACCGCTACCGAATTACAAACTGCGTTCTTAAAGTGAAGTGAAAACCGAATATTCAGTCTTTGGTACAACTTGACCAATTAGATAACCAAAAAAATTCAAATCAGATTTTTAAAAAGATAGCAAAGTTCATTCAGATTTTCTCTTCACTGTGTATGTTAGTGCTATCTAAAGGTTAGGGAAAAAGGAAATAGTGAACACTCTACCATTACTCACTGGTGGTTGGGGTGAAATACTCTTTATTCACACAGTTTCGCAAGTTGTCAGGAATACGACCCAGGATTGCCCTTCGCACTTCACCTGCAGCCATTTCTCTTAATTCAGTCACACTTTGTTCACTGTAGAAAGCTGAATGGGGCGTGCAGATAAGGTTTGGACAATCTTTCAATGGACCTGCAAAAGAAAGTGAACAAAACGTGATCTTAGAGTAAAGCATAATCAAGCACCAAAGAAAGCAAGTCTTGCAAAGACAGGCAAACTCAAAAATGTAATACTAATAAGATAGTTTTCAATTGAAAAATCTCAGCTGCAGGCCTGTGTAAGTGGCTCTCGGAACCCAGAAAATCACACAAAGAGTAGATGCACATTACAATAACACCCATTTCAAGCACCAAAGGCGGGAGGAACAGAAAGCTAGGGGAGTCCCACGGCATACTCCTCCCCTGGAAAAGTTTCTTTTAGATTAAGTATTTAAATTGCTATGTGACAGTAATTTCATCTGGTAAAAGCAAAATATTAGATCAAAATGAAACAAAACATGTGTCTATGTAATCTATGATACTGATCTATGTAATGTATGATATTGATATCTACAGGCATCAGGGTATAGTGACTTGGGGACAAAGGGACCCCAGAGCGTAGGCATAGGAGAGACTGCTTTTTTCTTCAGTGCCTTGGGCTTGTCAACTCCTGACTGTCTCTTTCTTTATGCCATGTCCACTAAAATTGTCACAATCGCCACAATGTTGCTGAAATTTATCACAAAAAGAAACAATGTGTTCCACCATTGTTTCAGAGCAAAAAACAAAAGATCTAAATCTAGATCTTCAGTCATGGAATCACAATGAAACAACTTTCCCGGGGAAAAAAACACAAGCCTATCTGTGACTGAGCATTCATACAAAAGACAGTACACCATAGCCTCACTGATTAACCTTTTAAAATACCCAGCAATCACTCACGACTCATGTGAAGCTTACACTCCCATTTTATTTGGGGAATTGTAATTGATGGTCGGAAATGCGTCATCGTTTTCATTAGTTCACATTTCAGTTCCTGGATCTTTATGAAATTCGAAAATTTCCACAGAAAATTTTTGCTGTCAAAAACGTTTGATCGGAAATTACAAACTAGGACGGGACTCTTACAGAGTTGCAGCTGACAAGAAAGGGTACTTTTTGCTTTTTTTTTTCACATTAAAGCATGTAACATGAAGAGCAGCTTAAGTATTAAAAAATACTGGTAAACACAAAAACTCACATATTTCAACATCAAATACTACAACAAAGATTACACACAATACATATGACACACACTACTAAGATAAATAAAATTAAGAAAAATTATGATCACGTAGGCAACAATCCAGTTCAGAATGGGATATGTCCTTCCTTATGTATATCAAAGCATAATTAAAATAACCAGAGCAGAGGAGACAGACAGACACACACACTTACTGTTAGCATATACAAGAGGCTCGTTTTCTTGTACATCCAGGGCAGCAGCTCGTATTCTGCCATCCTTGACAGCAGCTGCCAAAGCATGCTCATCTACAAGACCACCTCGAGCTGTGTTGATGAGGAAGGCGCCTAGGGTTGAACAAAAAAAGTAATCTTTAATGCACAGAAACAAAAGTGTGAAATAGGCTAGTTTGAGGATAGACCCCAGGTCCTTGGCTAAAACACCGGGCTGAGAGGAAATATTGCAAGATTGCTATAAACTAAAGCTTAATGATGTTGATAGAAACATCCTCAAAAGCTCACAATAACATCTAGTAACCAACATGGTCTTGAAATAAAATATAATGATGAAAATGTAAAAGACATGTAAAAAACTTTCGAGTGTACCTGAATTATGATACAGTATGGTGTCCCTCGTGGGTTCGTTATGTTTTATGTATAAGATAATGTCGCTTCTTTCAAATCTTAAAAGAGTAACATGAAATCATTTGTAAAAACATCTAACGAAAAAAACTTGTCAAACCTGTTTTATCCAAATTAAGACTTTGTAATCCCCATCTTATAACCGATTTTAAGTACAAGATACAATGGAACTCGGATTCAACGAAGTCGTTGCGCCTGACCTTCAATTTCAGTTGAATCCGAGTGTTCGTTGTAGCAAATATAAGGTTTTTGTGTAGATGATTTGCAACCGTAGAATTACAAAGTTCTATGTGACATTTTTGGCAATTTTCTGTTACTAAGAACATGAGGTCAGAAACGAAATGCACTATCTGTCCTACCAAAATCGTAAGATTATTCGGAGTCATTATCGATATATTCAAAGTACTTCATTCAAAAAAGTTTGGTTTCAAATGAGAGGCCTTTTTGTTTCTTTGATGCCATACCGAAGAAAAATCGGGTCTGGTTGAGGCGGTTTGCTAGTCACATAGAGGGCACAGAGCGGCCAATGTGGCACAAGCTGATCGCGCCCGTCTCACCTAAAAAACAAATGCTGTTTTCAGGCGACGAGTGGGGCGATCACCCCCGAACCGATCCCATCCACAATGGGCACCCCGTATAAACAAACGAACACCCACATTTTTGTTTTACTTCACAGAGAGGGGAGAAAGCAAACCATACAAAACCGGACATCTAAGACATATTTTCCGTGATGTTAAAAACACTAACCTGGCCGCATCTGTTTGATTGTGTAGTCGTTTATAAGATGATGATTGTGTTCATTCAAGTTACAGTGCAATGAAACACAGTCGCTTTGGAAAAGGAGCTCCTGCAGTGTGTATACACGAGTAATACCTGAAATGGGAAAAGGAAACTATAACATTTTCAGGGAAGTCGCCCCAAAACACCTCTGCAATAATAAAATTATTCCTAGAATATATAAACGAAATACCACACATGTATCTTTTTTTAACATTCATGGCCAAGTTCCAAAATAAGTGAGAGGCAACAAAAACCTTCTACTGAAAGAGTGGCCAATCAATGAAACAGACATGCCCGGACTGGAGTCTCCTGCTATTGTTTCAGACAAATCACTTGCACTTCAATCATGCATTTGAACATATCAAAATAAAAATGGAGCTTAAATACGCAACCAAAGAGTTACTACAAGAGCTCCCCCAACCTCCAATTTAACCTGAAGAGTGACATGATGAAGGGGACAGGCGGCTGAGGTTTGGGTCGAGTTTCCTCAAGCAGGGCGAAAAACATTTTTGTATATATTTTCTCTCTCTTTATTTCCTGTCTCTAGAATCAATCTCAACAGCTCCCATTGACGACAGTACACAACAAAAAGCTTTGTACAGCGCCTTTTTGTGCAGTTAGTTTTCACGCTAAAACTTTACATAGCAATGACAATGAAAAATTAAATTTTCATCCGAATTGCTTAAAAATGGGCTTAAATTAAAATATAGTAAATTCTAAGAACTATGGTTTTTTAATTTTTTAAATCCAATGATAAATAAAAAAGTTATGGGGATTTTTGTTTGCAAAATGTTGAAGGACCTTCATATAGGAAAATATCGCCAAAATGTGGGACTTGTCTTTATGTATTTTGAGGAAAAACTGTTCATAAGTCAGTAATGAATTGGAGCATATGAATGAAACTGCATCTTCATGTGATTTTTAGAGCAGAATCTAGTTATGCAATCACTTTTTCAATGTTTTTATTACTTTGGATCTTAAAGAACTGATATATGAGTGAAATTTGTTGAATTGCGTGACATCGTTTTTATCGCGACGCGATCACCCCTTCTAAAACTCAGTAAAGCGCTATCGGGAAAACCTGCGGTGAAGTCATCGGCGACCTATTTAGTTACAGGCAGCCAATCACATGCCGCCTAGCGATCACGCACCTTTTGCAAGCCGGCACTTCGCGTTTGGAATGCGTGATCTAGTTTCCAGCTCTAGTGTTTTATCAATGGATGGGTGGTAATTTTAAGTTGGTACGTAAAATGTATTGAACGTAGAGATCTGAAATTTTACAGCAATAAAGAAGACATGTGGGGCGCCTGTGTGGTCGGCGATCAACCCGCAGTTCCGCTTAGTTTTCGAACCGCAGAGGAAATTTGCACAAACACGACAATATCTCCGGTTCTAGAAATTGTTCGGGATTGTACGCTGGCATGTCGTCAGTTTAACCTTTCCTCTGATTGGTTGCTGAGTTTCATTTATTTTCGTGGGCGGTAAACATCGCCAATCGGCGAGATGAGGCGGCAAAGTGTTACCCTTAGAGCGCTGACTTCTTTCCCCTTATATTTTCCCTCTGTGCTGAATTTATTTTGAAAAAACGCCAGATTTGCACATACACCTTTTTTTAATGCTAATAACTTTTTTATTTGTCAAAATTTCTAATGAAGGTAAGAATAAAAGTTTTAGAATATTGAAAGTTCTTTATCAATATGTGAAGCAAAAAGTATTTTGCGAAGTTATTGTTGTAGTAGTGGTGTTGGAAATGACAATAAAAACTGTCGGTTCATTAGATCTCTAGATCTAGACCTGAGTCTAGATGCTTCGTAGGCCTACGTTATATTCCACAAAGTGTTAGCTCGGCATCAAAACCCTCGAAATCATCTTCCGATTCAAGGAAAATACGTGGAACATCTTCATCTGAAGCGACACTATTTTCATGTTTGTCGCGGGTCGCAATCGCAAATTTTCCAACTTCACTGTCACTCGACTTAAACACGAAACAAAAAACTCGCGCCTCGATCGAACCCCGTGACCAAAAAAAAATAAAAAATGGCGGGCGAAATCAATTCTACGTAGCCTACCAGCCAGCAGTATAAAAATTAGTACACCGCGTTTTACTATGCCAATGTCTATCGCGGTCGCGATCAGCACTTTAAGGGTTAAAATCAACTCATATCATCTTCTACTGACCAGCTTTACAGGACAAAACATACCAACATTTTTAGAACTTGACTATCTGATGTAGTGCACTAAATACAATTAAATAAAGTAAGATTAGGATGATGCCTCGGGCTTTGGAAAAAAAAAAAAGCATCCACACATGAAAGAAATCACAACAAATACCATATATGGCAAACACTTCGACTTACCTAAAGATTTTTCTAGCCCATCTGCTAGATATGGATCATAAAAAATAACATTGAAACCAAAGACTTTTGCTCTTATTGCGACAGCTGTACCTACTCGACCTGAAAGCAAAAAAGTAAAACATTTACAAACCCTTCAAATTACAAGGACAAAAAACATGTGTAATGAAAAAGTGTACACTACAATTCAATACAATTGGGAATGGAATAAATCAAAGTACAGACGAACCTGCCCTGACAGTCACCTCTATAAGACGGCCACTTTCCATTCCCCCCTTGCGTTTTTTCTATATAATTTAACTGGGTAAAACAGGCACCTGTCCAACCCAGCCATGGCCTCCATATTTTAACGCACAACCCCTTCCACACCAAGCAATAACACCTGTCTTCGACAGCCACCTTAGTGACTCCATTACGTTTTGTCATAAATTGTGCATTGGCCCCAGGCGTTGTGGGCAAGCTGTCATAATCCAATCACCTGTCGTTATTGTTAGCGTTCTTGTTAGGTAGTCCATCCAAACAATCATTTTGCGTAGGCCCCTCCCACTGTCAACCAATAGGTAACAAATTTTCAGCTGCTGGTGAGGTAGGCGTGTGATCCCTCATAACCCATAAGCCTCGCCCAGAACTCATACACAAATCGTAAGTGAGATGAGTGGTCACTGTTTACTCAGTCTGTAACAAAGTAACAATGGACGTCAACATGAACTTGTGACAGAAACGTCGCTCCTTCTCCGAGTGGTGGCAACCCATGTGTTTGTTGTACCATGGCACTCGGTCCTCCTTGTCTGACACATTTCATTAGCACAAAAGCAGCAAAAAAAGAAGAAAAAAACTAGCGAAAACAACAACAATGCGGCTACCTTCGGTAGGGACCTCAGAAAGGAAAGATTTGTTTTCTTCATATAGATCAGTCTAGCCTAAGACGACCACCTGTCTTATACGGCCACTTTTCTCCTTGACAATGGGTGGCAGTCTTACACAGGTTCGACTGTACTGTGTCACCAGATAAGCTGAACACTATCCACCCACGCAGCGCGCAACACTTTATTCCCATGGACCAGGATACAGATACGATATACGCTATATCACACCGTCGCCGATTGGCATCCTGTGAGGAAAAGGGGTAGCTTCTTACCGTCGCCCCGTGGGGGCAAAGTATTAATCATTACCATCACTCACCCTGAGCATTGAATTTTAGAATCTTGATTTCCTTAAAGACAAGATTTATAACTGTCTACATAAAAACCACAAGGGTTGGCCATTTTAAAAGAAAACAAGAAAACACTACACACCCACATGGCACAAAGGAAAAGAGAAAAGAAACAAGTACGTACCAAGACCAACAATACCCAATGTGTCTCCTCTGATTCTTGCTGAGCCCTGGGCAGCATCTCTTAGTTGCTCTGGTCCATTAACTTTTTTGCCCTCACGAACCATGTTGGCGAGCCAGTACGTTCGGCGATATAGATTCAATATGAGGCACATCGTTGAGTCAGCCACTTCTTCTACACCATAGCCAGGAACGTTACACACAGCAATACCTGCAAGAAATGTTTTCAATTAAAAACTAATACCGGCAAGAAATGTTTTTAATCAAAAACTAAAAATAAAATATGGGTGAAAAATATCTCATAAAACAAATAGCAATAGCTGACTCAATTCATTGCGACAGAGGATGTGACTGCAGAAATGCCAAAACAACATTTAGAGCACTATTTTTTCTCCCTCTAGAAATGCAGCACAACATCTTTCAGCACAGGACTCAAAATCATTCAGTGAAGAGGTCCACTTTTATTTTTACGTCAGCTGTCAGAAAATGACTGCATATAGATGGGTTCTGAATTGTCCTCGTTCTCACAAAACTACTGCCATTACACCAAGTGACCTGTGTGCTTCTTCCAAAATAAATCTTTTTACATCTTAAAACAGCAATATACATTAATCACTGAATGACTACAAGCGACCTATTATTTTCAATAGAAACCTGGATAAGTGGTTCGGACTCGATTTTGTGGACTGGTATTTTGCTACGACTATTGCCGTAGCTCCTGGACAGAAGCATGCGGCAGCTACAAACATACTCGTAGCTTGGGTGCAATAGGTTAAGATGCATTAAAAACTTTGTAAAAAAATTAAATAACATTCATTAACTGTCGAAACAGAGGCTGTTTATAAACTCTAGTCCAATAGCTTTAATCCCATGCCGCAAACATGCTTCTAAATCTTACCCATTTCACCAGCAGCTTTGACATCTACATTGTCATAGCCACTGCCAATTCTGATGATGACTCTGAGACTTTTGAATTTGTCTAGATCTTCTTTGGTTAAAGTAATCGTGTGCCACATTAAAGCACCTACAGCTTCATTTAAAACCTGAGGATGAGAAACACAACATAAGCAATTAGAAGATTTAAAAAGCAAAAGCAAAAAGAAATTTATCAGCAACACTCCAAATAAAATCGTTCTTATCTGAACCATTACAAAAAACAATGAAAACTGCCAACTTAAATTTTTTTAAAGTTTAGTTTTGATACGAGTTTTACGGCACTTGCTACACAATAAGGTCATATAAGAGCCTAAATTAACGGCATTACAAGAGAGTAACAAACACAAAAAAAGAAGGAGAAGAGATCAGGACAACAGACGTTTGACAGGAAAGAAGGAGCAAACTACACCACAGCACCCACCAACATGAAAATTTATGACTACAGGTCTACAAAGTAATTCTAAAGAAAGGTACGTTATTTATTTTATAAAATAGTTTCCATCACCTTACTTCTGGATTTACAAACATTCTCATAAGCCATACTGATTAGATTGGTATTTACTAAACCAAGTTCTCATCCTGAGGCACAAATAAAACAACAACAAAAATCTAAACTGATAATGTTAAAGATACCTTTTCGTGAATCTCTTGCGTGGACTGAGCATCGCAGAAAGCTACAGTAGCAACATCTTTCAAGATGGGCATTTCAATGGCGCAGTCACGTCCATCAAGCAAGGCCACCAAGGGACGGGGGTGCATGGGACCATTTGGGATTGGACCACGGATAGACACTATTAAAAGAAAAAGAACTCTTTTAAGAACCCGTGTCTTAAGAATATTCTAATATTCAACAATCTCAAATTAACATATGTGAGACTGCTTCAATGTACATAATACATTCCACTGATTCTGATTGTTCAAATATAAACAAGGAATTCTTTATAAGTCAGTATTTCAACTGATGGTTACTTCACTTATTTATAAATGAAACTAGTATGAAATCACTATAGTTGGTTAAATACAGTTGAACCTGCTCTAACGGTCACCTGTATAAGACGATCACCTGTACAAGCGGCCACTTTTCTTTTCCTCCCTGGCCTATTTTTTACATTGCAATGACACTGTATAAGGCAGTCACCTGTCTAAGACGGACACTTTTCTCCTCGACAATGGCTGGTTGTCGAAGACAGGTTTCGACTGTACATTTGGAGTCCATTTAAACGGAATACTGTAACCGAAAACAGCAGTAAACCAAAAGAAAATCCCAATTATTTTTTTTTGCAATTTAATCAACCTGTCTAAACGGAAAACCGAGCAAAACCAAAGAAATTCTAGCAGTCCTGTAGATTTCGAATTAAGTGGACTCCTCTGTATCGATAATAACCATATATCCGTGACCACTGGTTTCCATCATTCACTTCTCATAAATGGTATCTGCAGTCGCATCACCAATGAGGCTATGATAATTTCTCAGATGGCCACCAATCAACAAAAATCAATAATAATCATTATCATTAACATCATTTTCTGAGCCATTTCTAATTTTCCATTTTAAAAATCTAATTTGGCCGCCATAGGCCATCTTAAAAACGAAAAAGATAAAATCATAAACTGATGATAACTTGATTTTTAAATTTTAATGACAGCAGTTAGCAATGCCATTTCCAAAAGAATATAAACAATCACAGCACACCAGATAACAAAACAGTACCAAATTTACATGCAAATTATGTATAATGCCCAATTTTTAAGACGTTAACTGCAGAGGTATGCAACCTCCAAGCTCCACAATCGCCACTTTCAGAGTTTTCCCAAAACGAATACCGTTGTATCTAGAAAGGTGAGATAAATTCCAGTTTTTATTTTACAAAATGCGATTTTTACCTCTGTAAAGAAATGTAGAAAGTTACGGTACGGGGGGGGGGTGTTAAACGCGACAAAAGCGGTTGCCATTTTTTGACAAACTGAGATATATTCTCTGTGCGGCGAAGAAGTTCTTTTCTCCGAGTCATGTGACTTCAATTATGGTCAACGAAAGTTTGTTGGCCGTTCATTCCCTTCCTTATAAGTATTCTAAAAATCTGATAAGTAATGTTTTGTCAAAAATGTGTGAAGATCTCATCAATGTGAAGGATACGAATCCAACATAGATTCCACTTTACTTTTCCGATCCAGCTGCCATATGAGTTCAAGCCCTTCGGCCTACAGATTCCACCAAAAGGCGAATTTCAACTAAGCCTTACATCATGTTTACTTAAAAACCAGAGTTGCTCAAGTTTATTAGTAAATGGATGAAGAAAAGAAATCATTTGTCTAAAAACCAGAAATATGAATGCGTCACATTTTGTTGCAAAATTGTTCATATTTATGTGGAACACCATGATTCAACATACGTTTTGAAATTATTTTCACAATTCTTATTTCATAGCAATGAAAAAACTTTTCCCCAATGCTCATAAACATCCTAAAAAGTAGAACGGAACAAAGATGTATAAATACTTACTAGTGGAGGGCTCCAACCTAGCTTTCTTGGGAGCCTGCATATGAAACGAGAACTACAGAACTGTGACTTGACGGGATACAAGTTCCACTTCCAACAGGAAGGGTGATGGGCAGAAGCAAGGGCTACAGAAAGATGCTGCAGAGAGAAAAAAATTTGTCAGCTTGTCTCTTGACACAGATATCTATAAAATAAACAAAAAAGAACCTGGAAAAATCCCTAAAAAGTTTATTTTAAAAAAATATTTTTAAAGTAAAATTCCACACAAGACAGACAGGAAAGGCCATACTTAACAGAGAAAGACCATCATAAAAAAGAAAAACTCCATATTTCACCTACAGATACGACATTTTGAGAAAAATTTTAACAACAGATTTCCTTTGATTCTGAGCAGATTAACTATTCAAGCGAGAGTCCACCATCTTTACTGCTTTGCTGCACACTCAGGAGTGTCACGAGCTACTAAGCTCCCTCAAGACCTGACACAGAAACACACTTTATTAGACAACAGAGCAGTTGAAGAAAAACCATACACTACCTAACATCATTCCCCCAAATATCAAAAGCCAGTTCACTGCTTTATATTGAAGAAATAAAATATCAACTTTAAAGATGCCTTAAAATAGATGACCTGAACAAGTGAATACAATATTTTTTCCTTTCCTTATAAAATCATACATCAGACACATAGGATTCCTTTAGATTACATTTACTTTTCACAGCTAAAAATGCCCAAAGATGACAAATAATTTTAGAATTTTTTTCTGGGGCAGCATACCCAAATGAATACTATACTCACATAATATCCAAATGGGTGCTCTTTCTTTTTCCACTGGGATCAGCAAAGTCCCCCAATGTTAACCTGTGGTCATAGTGCCATGTGTCTGTGAAATGCATGAATCAAAATTATTAAAATTATAAAATGAATGTCCACAGTACTTGCAATTCATAACAAAATAAAATATTTCAAAAAGACCTACAAAACCAGTAAAAGGGCAAACATATTACAACAATTGGTAAAATTTTACTTTCACACTCACACACACAGATGGACTGCTTTCGGGGGCTATACGGCCATATTCTTGGCTGCAGAACAATGGTGTATGGCCACTAAAATTGTCGCAAATATTCAATAGTTTTCAAGAAAAATCTCAAACACACTGCAAAACATCAAACTATGGCGAAATATGAGGAAGCACGCCCTCTAACACCCCCCCCCCCCCCCCATTTTGGTCAGGGGCGGCAATTAATATAAAGTCGAATTCAGGTAAAATAGTATAAATAAAAAAGAAGAGTCTGAAAATGAGACAGGTGCGAAAGTAAAATAACACCCAATATGACAAGAATTTGAAAACAAAAATTTTTTAGAATCCATCGACCATGCAAAAAAAATTCTGATTCAACTATTTCTATTCATCTCAATAGCAACACATAAGACATAACAGAGGTTTCAAGAAAATAGGCTCATCTCATCAAAATAGATGCTAATGAGACAGTTTAAGCAAGCGCCACGTTTAACCCCAACTGTACAAATTGAGACGCAGACTTTTTTAAAAATTGTATCATATCTCAAAACATAAATAACTGTATGGAAAGATCTAAAAAAATTTGGAGTCATGGTACCCCTTTTTTCAATCAAACAGAAGCAAGCGTGTGTCACAGCGCGAGCTACCTGAAACCCATTGCACACCGAATGCACTGTTTCTCCCTGATGTGATGTAAATCTGACTCACTCAAAGAGGGGAAGGTCTTCCGTAACGAGCGACCACCTCAACAAACACAATAGAGAAGAGACCTAACCCTAACCCTCTATTCTACTGTCTCATAGTGGTCGCTCGTTAAGGAAGTCCTCCCCAAAGAGGATTCAAAGGGACTGGGTGAAAGAAAAATCCTTACCACAATGACAAGACAATGGCTAGCTGAGAGAAGCAAATGAGTAGGCCAATAGATAGCAGTTCTCCCAAGAGCTATTTCAAAATCAAACAGTCAAAAAATGTAACTTGCAACAAAAAAAACCACCACAGAGAGAAAAAAAATGAAATGGCAACCAACTTCTAACCAAGTACAGCAAGTTTATTCAGCTGTTTCAGCCTACATCATACTACTTTGGTCTGTGGCGAATAGCGTGATCCAACTAACTCTCGTCCAGCAGATTTTGTATAAAAACAAGCACATTTGCGTTCAGGTAAAAAGACAAGTGTTGTTTCTGGATCCATTCAAGCAAGATACGTCTAAACAGGTCATGCGTAGTCATTTCAGCAGAAATTTCATTCAATAAACAAAAATAGCATTGTACTGACCAGTCATGCTAAAATGCGAAAAGACACATTGGGAGGGTGTCCAGAGGGCTCATATAGGCGATATGATACAGTAGCGAGCGCACTATCATAGCCTAAGAGGTCGATTTGTTCTGAATTCATTGGACAAGCATCTAGAGCTACCAACTTGGCGTGTTTTGAATGAGGCGTATGCCTTGGTTACGAACCAAAGCAGGCGGTTCTACAAGTAGGCAACAAACCCACACATACTCAAGCAGACTAACGTGCACAAACTTGAACTGCGAGAATACGGGGCCTGGCCATCACGTGGATGACGCTCAGTGCCGAGTCAGGGCCGGACGGAAGGCGAGGTGCCGAAATACGCTTATTGGGGAACAAAAACCCAGCTCCCGCAGGACCAGGTTTAACAACGTAATTTTCCACTTGTCTCAGTGTTACAGTCCATGCCGGCTTTAAGCACGGTCATCAGGAGAAAGCTTAAGCGTGCTTAAGTGCGAAGTAGACATAGTCCAGAGATTTTCATGTAGAAAATTCCCTGTGCTATTTCCCTTTGTTTGTAAGTAAGCCTATAGCGGTCCCGCAAAAGTGTGCACTGTTATTTAGACACCCGCCATGGTAGTTTTCGTTCGCTTGTTTGTTTTTGTTTTGTGGTCGAATGGGAAATGAAAACTTAATTTAGACGGCCAGTCACGATACAGCACACTAGGCCTACTGTAACACACTGCCTGTGCGTACCACTGCCCGCTGTGCCACTCATACCACCGCCTTCATCCCACCTCGCGCGTGATACACAATCAGGATTAATGGATAGCGAGGGTCAAAGGTCAAATCGCAGCCAGCCTCCCCGACTCTCTCTGTATTTTTTTTTTATCGTGTGTAGCTTTGCCCTAGGCCTAGGCTAGATCCTATGTCCATGCGCACGGCTGTGTGCATCTCTCTGCCTTCCTCTCCGCCCGTGTGAGTGTGTGTGTCCATCACTTGCGTTCTTTGTGTTTCTCTTGACACACTCCACTGCTGCGGTGTAAACTGTTCGAACTTCGATGGGTCATCATGAAAATATTGACAGTCTTGTAAATGAAGCGTGCTTGAATCCGAAGTTACCGTGCTTAAAGGCGTGTAATTTATATAGCAAAAATTCAGTAAGAGCCGTTTAGCTTGCTTGAGTCCGAAACGTGCTTAAGGCCGGCACGGACCGTACCCAGCGCCATAAAGTCAGGAAAGTCCTATCACAGTAATTACACATTATTTTACAAATAATAATGGTAAGACGACAAAAAAGAAAATGACTAGCAGAAAAGGGATAGAATCTAAGGCACACTGGCAGCGATGAAAGTAATTTTTTCATCTATAGTGACTATAATCTAAGGCACACTGGCAGCGATGAACGTAATTATTTCATCTGTAGTGACTATCACTTTTGCGTGCACAATTGAAATCGGCAGCTTCATCTAAAACTAAAGCAAAATAAACATTTAAATTTGCAGTTTACTTAAAATTTTAGATTTGGTAGATCTAAATCTAGTACTTTTCTTGTCAACCTTGGTATGTGATAAGTATGTCTATTAGAGACCATTGTGCTACATGAGATCTACATCTAGATACCCCAGCCAGAATGGGTAAATTTTTACTTTCACTCCCACACACGGATGCACTGCTTAAGGGGTCAAACTGCAGTATTGTTTGCTGCAGATCACACACAAAGCCACTAAAACTGTCGCAAATAATAGGTAGCCTAAACACGGCCTCGCGGCCTTCCGAGAGCGTGCACTTGCGGCCTTCCGAGAGCGTGGTATCGGTGAAATCGGGATAATTCAGATCGCTGTTTCTTTGCTCTTTCGCTATAAAACACCAAATGTCATGCATCTTGTAAAAGCTCAGCTTTTCCTCATTACAATGGTGTAAGTTGTTTATTTGTCTGATTATTAGGAGCTGGAGAGTCGCCAAGGAAAGCGAAGCCCCTCGCGGTCCGAATGCGTAGTCGCCTGTTCAAAAATTGACACGCGTGAATTCAAATGCTTCGCGGAAAGATTGATGATTAATTTAAATACCGTCTTTTCATTGGTGGAGAACTGTAGAGCTTTGAACGGGCTTTCTCGTAGTATATTTTTGGCCTTTGGCGTTTAAATAAAGCTTCATTTTGTATAAAATGATACCAGCCTACCTGATCAAAAAATATTAAATTTTGGAAGTGCCTATTCGAAACGTCGCGTTGCGATTAGCGCAAGTGCTAAATAAAACGCTGTGTGTTATATATGAAGCTTAATCTACCTTTCGTTGAATTCTAGATTCTAAGTAAATAATTCACGCACCTGATGAAATGCATTTTGCCAACATTAATATTACAAAATTACAGCACAACCTATAATAGAATTGGAATATGAATCCTCCATTGAGGTCTATAATGATCTATAAATCTAGATCTAGAAACTAGAGTGGAACAAGTGAGTCGGACTTGAATGAATCCACATGATCTGAACAATCTGTAAACAAACGAAATTCAAAATGGCCGCTCGAGCACGAAACTGAAAGTAGATAATTTAGGTCGTCGTACTTTTTCGTATTCGTATTTCTACTCAAGTTCCGAAAATTATGTCGCGTCGGCGGTCAGCACGAAAATGAAAGTACCGACGGGAGAAAAAAAAAAGGGGGGGGGGGGGGCTGGCAGTCGGCCAGGCCTCGCACTTCGCACATTGACTAATACAGGTGGGCCTAGCGATAGCATCGGCCGGCTCGCGGGTCGGTTCGCGATTGTCAGCAAACATGCAGGTCTATTCAAATTCATGGCAAAAACACACGTTTCCAGGCGCGCTCGCTGTACACAAACGGTACACACTGAGTGACCCTGGCGGCCTGCCTGGAATGTCCGCATAATCGGTTGCTGATAAGATTCGCATCTCAGCACAGGCGCAGGACAAGAGTTAATTAAAACGAAGTGACTATTTCTCTGAACGCTAAGGAAAATAAACTTTAAATTTCTATTTCTCCGAACGGTTTCCGTTCTTGAAATTTATTGGTTATTTGGAAGATTTAGGCGTCATCTTTCATTCTGCCACGATGCAAGGACTTGGAAGAACCATTTTTTGCATCAAATTCAATTTATAGAGCTATTCTAGATCTAGAGATTTTTAAATGTCTGAATATTCAGATACTTCAGTTGTGGTTTGGGGCAACGTTCCCAGACTATTATACTTCATTTGAATGCCTTCAAAAAGTACGCTACTTCGAGAAGTCATTCCTAAAGCAAACACTAAAATCCTTCATGTAAACAATAATAAAATCCCTCCACGCCCCCCCCCCCCCCCCCCTTATGCACACACACTCACTCTCTCCCTCACACACACACAAACGTGCGCAGACCACTCCAGTCGCAAATTATCAACAAATGTCGAGAACGGAAAGGCCACCTCTATTCTCACCCCGGGTGAGAATAGCGCAGGCGAGTCTTTTGGCTATTCTTACCCGGTGTGCGTTCACCGTGTTATACTATAGCCTAAGCCAACCAGTGTAGCGTTCACCCTGAACCACAGAATTCTACACTGTGATAACAGAATTGTAGAATTCTGTGCCGTGAAAAACGTTCCATTACTACTGCTGTTAGCCTACAAGCGTGCAATTTTGTCTGTGGGCAGTGGAGAGAGAGAGAGAGAGAGAGAGAGAGAGAGAGAGAGAGAGAGAGAGAGAGAGAGAGGGAGAGAGAGAGAGAGAGAGAGGGGAGTATCGCGAGAACTTCCGGGCAAAACAAAATGGCGACCCGCGTAGTTCGGCTCGATTCGAAAAGTTATAGCCGTAGCATCTTTGTAGACGACCAAATTAATGTACTTTTATGTTTTAACATCATTTTTTAACTTTGTTTTGGTCAATTTGATCGTCCACACCGATAGACAGTGTTCAGAAAGAGACAGAGAGAGAGAGGAGTAGATCTTGCGAAAACTTCCGGGCAAAACAAAATGGCGACCCGTGTAGTTCGGCTCATTCGAAAAGAGAAATAGCCATAGCATCTTTGTAGACGATCAAATTAGCTTACTTTTGAGCTATAACGTAATTTTTTCTTGGCTTTTATCAATTTGATAATCCACACTGATTGACAGTATTCTGAAATGAGGAAAAACAGGTCTTGTTTCACACCGGGTGAGAATAGCCTACGCTGGCAAGTCTTACCCGTGGTGAAAGGTAGATCGTATTTTTATTCTCACCCCGTGTGAGGATAGCCACTTCCGAACGGAAACCATTCGGAGAAATAAGAGTACAAGTTTCTTTTCCCGAGCGTTCAGAGAAATAGGGCCAGCCTAACTAAAATCCTCGTTCCGACTGGCAAACTATAGGAAGGCTAAGTTTTAGCGCGCACTTTCGGGGCGGCAATCAGTTGCAGTTGGATTCTTGCTATGTTAGAAGAAATCTAAATCTGTGTCACATTTGAGTTGCTGATGTAAACAAACCAACATGGCGGCGGGACAGCAAATCTTAACAAGTGCCCAAGGCAAAAGGAAGGCGAAAGGCTACGGCTTCTCTGAGTCTGAGTGTCAGTTGCTGTCGGAACAACCAAACTTGCCTAGTCTAGATTCTGGATCTAACCAGTAAAAATTAAAAACTAAAACAAGAACACTATTTAAAAATACCATGTCTGTGGATTGTGGAGCTTGGATGCAGGAAGAATACGAACAACTAGGACAAAGCCAACACTAATTGCAATAACAACACAAAAGAACAGGGAAGGCTCAGCCACTGAATTCGGTCTCTGTTGTCTCTACTCTACTAAGTCTAGGCTAGGTAGATTAGTAGGCCTCTTCGGCACAGGGAGGGGATCGTTGCAGTGACTGACATTAGACGTTCTGACTGGCCATACAAACCATCTATTTTGGCTGTCTCCTCCCTTGTTAATACTCAAATCGACGTGAACAGACATCAACACACCAAATAACCAAAGAAGCTCTTTGAAATTCAACGGGGTACTTTGATTGAAACAGTGAGGAAGAGCATGGACCGGGGAGGACGGAGAAAGACCGCCAAACAATGAAAACGAAGACGCTCCATCGACACAGAACTAGATCTAAAGCAATCACCTGCATTATGTGTAAGCATATGATGCACATTAACATACATTTTGGAGTAACTTAATGTTTTCTTTACCCTAAAATTTACAGACAGTCCGGCTTGCTGTGGTGAATTTTACACCAAGCGTGCGAAGCTCCGCAATAAAGGCCAATGGCGTTTGAAGTCTCGCGATGTCTCGGGTGAACTACGTGAGCTTGCAAGGAGCTATCAATCGCTTAGTGCCGTAAGCATGGGCCCCAAAGTTTAAAATAGTTGTAATTTATTTTTATCTAGTATGCACCTTCCTAGCAAATCATAGACAAAAATAATAAGTCTGACCCAATGCAGATGTGGAGGCTTAAATAGTTTTGGAGTGAATTAAGTTCTTGTCCTTATTTTTGCTCTCCGAAGGTCTCGATACTGGTAAACTGGTATCGAAGAAAAAATACCATATCGAATGTGAGGCTGAAGCAAAGATTGTGCATATAAGCCTAAACACGATAGTTCCCTCCTCTCTTTGAGCCAATTAAAAAAGTGTCCTTAAAATCCGGTAGCGCCCTCTCCGAAAAAGTGCGAACTTCGTCGGGAACAGAGTTACCATACTTGTGTGAAAAACAATAAAAGGGAAACTGAGCTGTTCCTATTCTTCTTCTAGAGAAACGAAAAAGAGCTTCAAAACAAAGACTGCAGCGCCATCTAAAGCAATGCGCGGACTTCTGCGGACACTTTTTTTTGGCCAAGTGAACTATTTTGTTATGAACGATATTTGGCTAAAGTGGATCGTTGACGTCGAGAAAGCAAACGATCAATAACTCCGTTCCTGTGCAATCTTTTCCGCAAGCAAAGGGGGCTGTGATCTTTTCCTCTCACTGGCGTATTTCTGTCGAAAAGGCTTCTTGCGTCCAACTTAGGCTACTTTCTTTGAGCACTGTCTGTTTTCTTGAGTGCCACCTTGAATAGACCAAGATGCTTTCCAAGTTTCACTTCTATGAAAAATGTTGCAGCCTCCTTATACTAGATGGCAACAAAGATACTATAATAAGACCTACTATTAAAATATGGTAAAAACAAAATGAGACAATGATTAGTGGTTAGAGTTAGAGTTATTGTTACGAAGAATTCCTTCCAATAATCTTCCTCAATGAAACTTGTATCTTTTTAATTTCAATAACTCAAAAACCTTCTTAGGACAAAATGTTTTACGGCAGAGTGGTTAAAATAAGCGCAACAAAATATCACACTCACACACACACACACACACACACACACACACACACACACACACACACACACACACATAAAACTAGGTTGTTCCGCTCAATGGCTTTTCTAGATCACCGAGAGGTGACACAAATGTGTGTCTTTATACGGCAACAGCAAAGGCCTAGTTAGAATAAAAGCGCGCACCAGATTTCTGTCGCGTGGTTTTCTTCATGAATGTATGGGGAAGGGGGGCACAGAATTCTACACTTAATGTAGAATTCTGTGGGGGGGGGGGGGGGGGTGATTTTGGGCTGATTGCAGTTTTGTTTTTGTTTTGTTTGGGGTTGGGGGGTATTTTTAGGGGGGGGGGTTGATTTGTTTGGGTTTTTGTTGGGGTTTTTTCGTCCACGTATCTCATATCTTCCAAATCGGAAAGTCACAATCTAGATCAGACGACAGCATAATATATCGAGCAGGCACGAATTATACGATATCTAATGGACACGTGCCAGACATGCCACCCGTGCACGGAATGGCACTAATCAAGTTAAATGAATTGTCACTTTCACTGGAGGCTTCGTCACAATTTAAAATAACAATGTATCTGCACCAGTGGGAAGTACACTACTCTTTCTACTTACTCTCACCTGCACTTCTCCCATCTGAAAACGGTAGTCTTTCGAGTTCAAGTTCGCTTTGACATTGTCCTAATTGTTATTGGCATTTTGTATCTCTGTAAAATAACATCGTATAGGCATATTAAAAACACAATTGTATGAAGTCTCCATGCAACTTAAAAAGCATTACATTTCTATAATCTTATAAATTTTCATTTAAACAGCCGAGGACAAGGGATGGCAGCTTTTTGTCAGAATAATCATGATGCATGTCATCAACAGCAATAGTTTTTTAAAAATGTCCTTGCATATATATATAAGCTCCGGAGGCCAAAACAATTTTTTTTTAAGTAAATAAGAGCGCCCAAAATTAGAACCACGACACTGCCACTCGTTAGATTTTTCTATCAAAAACTAATAATAATAAAATATTCAGTTCATCCATTAACGTTTGATGATGACCGATTCATCTGCAATCGGAAAATACATATAGGGGAGGGTGGGGAGCTTGGCCACCCAATTTTAGAAACCTGGAAGCCTTTCCTAGCACTTTTAAACTAACAGCAACAGCAAAGTGAAATTTGGTGTAGACATAACTTAACCATGTAACATAAAAGTGTTAGCTTTGTTTTGCATCGGTGTGAATCAGAAGAGGACTGTTGCAATCTGTATACTCTTAACATTTTTTGGGAGACTTGGCCTCGTGCGTGGAGACTTTTGACCAAATCAATGGGGAGACATGGCCATACATTGGGAGACTTGGTCACCTACTGAAAATCTATACAAAACATCAAGAAAACACCAATATTAGAATTATACATTAATATCAGGTTTATTGGATTAAACTACTCAGACGTCATCCTCCCATTGTCACTCTCAAGCCTTAAACTACCCTCGGGGGCATTGTTCATCATATGAGGCTGGCACCGCTTCCGTGGAAATACAAATACCGGTGGGAGGGCGACTCTAGTCCCAGAGACAATAGGACACATAGTGACGAGCTCACCACGCTCTGTGCTCGTCATCTGTCCAACTTGTTTTACCCCTTTTGCGGTGATAACTTTTGGCATCCCCTGGACAGTGGTGAATCCCGTTTCGTCGAGATTATAGATTTGTCTTCCGTCAGGTTTCAAGGTGATGAATCTTTCTTGAAGAACATTTTTAAAAAACGATTGACATGTCTGTTGAGCGCTGTGGCTTGTGCAAGAGATGTGGCTGCAGAGGTGCGATTTGATAGGTTTGGGTGCCGTTCTCATAAAACCCAATAGCTACTCCTTGCCTGCAGATTTTTAGTCATCCCACCTGCTCGGATGCTTAATGTTGTTCATCAAGGCAGTTTGATATAATATAATATGTGAGTTGTTTGCTGCCTTTGTTGTCAAGCCATTAGAACACACCAGAACACTGTTGCATGTACTCTTTTAGGGCCGTTTCCTGTTCAGCTGCGAAGACCTGTGACTTACAAAAGTTTGTATCAGAATTTTCATCCTCTTGCGTCCCTATGTTGTGCGAGCAACTCCAGTTTCTTTCGAAACAAGAAAGGCAGGTTCTCCACAGAGGACTCTCTTCACCACCCTGACAAGGAAGTCAGACGGGAATGGGCCGTTCTCTGTCTTCCTTTTGTACTGACGTGGCATTATGTTTCTAGGGAGACAACAAAAATTGGACAGTTTAACCCTCTTAGCACCGAAAATAGGTCAGCTCATCAGCATAGTAGAACCAAAATAGTACACAACTGATGGCTTCCCAGAACCGAATTATATCAGTGTTTTTCCGAGGTAAAGGGGGAATGTAGCAAAGAAACTACTACGGTATTTCTTTTAATCCAAGCAACACAATTCGATGAATTTTTGAATTTGAAGAGAATGCATGCTGAATGTAATGATGTATTTGTTATTTCCCTTTGTGGTTTTAATCCTTAGTGGTGTGTCAGGCCGGTAAAAGCCGAACGGCAACATGACGGGAAGGCCGGTTTCGGCCGGTATGGCTAAAAAATTATTACAATGTAGTAAAGGTAGATGTAGAGAGTACAAAGCTTAGAAATAAAACATATTTTAGCTGCCAGTTGAGCTGTATATCTGACAACTTCACAGAACATTAGGTAGTGCTTTCTTGGACTTCTGTAATTGATTAGCCATTACGATCCTCTCCTTGCAGAGCATCTTTAAAAAGTTGGGGGGAAAAAAAGAAAAAAAAAAGGCGCCTACAAGTTCACTATCTATCACCAGAAAGTCAAAATGAATTCATCCAATGCTGTGCATCAAAATGACAGGCGTGATTTTGAATGAAAGAGCCGAACGAAGTATTACTTCACTATCGTTGATGCAACACCAGACTCTTCACACGTTGAACAAACTGTCTTTAATATTTGTTTTCCGTTATGTTCACTTGGACAGTGATACAAATGTCTACAAAGTAGAAGAGAGATTTCTGAAATGTGTAGATTGTAACAAGAAAACAGGAGAAGACATCGCTAAAATTATCCTTGATACACTGAATTAAAAAACAACAACATTCCAATTACAGACCGCCGAGGCCAAGGCTACAACGGTAGCAACATGTGTGGTCTGTATAATGGTGCACAGGTTCACATTTTTAGACAGTGATCACTTGCCACAGGCTCTCCCTGTGGCTGTCATAGTTTGAATTTGTGTGTCGTGCATTCTGCAGAAAGCTGTTCAACAGTCATAACTTTCTTTGGAGTTGTACAGAAGCTGTATAACACTTTTAGCTTCAGTCCTCAAAGGTGGGAAATTTTGAAGCAAAACATCCCCAGCTCTTTGCACAGTATGTCTCAGACACGTAGGTCAGCACGTGTTGACAGTGTCAGGCCTTCTGCGGCTCACATCGGGGGACTGAGGAAAGCTGTTCAAACTGTTCGTCAAATGAACCTCCCCCCAGAAACACGTTCAGATTTGATTGGTATTCTTAAGTACTTGGCATCATTTGAATGTGTGATAATGGCACTCGTTTGGCTCAAAATTCTCACAGCAATCGATCACAGAAAGAGAGTGCCTCAAGCATGAGATGCGACTCTTGACGTTGAGGTGGCAAATATCAATAGTCTAATTAAAGATCTGAAAAGCTTACGAGATGAATGGGACGCAATCTTGAGTGAGTCCCAATTAGTAGCAGATGACTATGAGATTGAGCATTCATTTGCCGAAACAACAAAACGACAAAAGAAAAGGAAGCTTTTTGTAGACGAGACAGAAGATGTAACAGACTGCCAAAATCCCGAGAACAAATTCAAACTTGAAGGGGTTTTTTATGTCCCCGTTGACTGCCTTCTTGGAAATTTGACAACAAAGTATAATACAGTGACAAAACTCGATTCGTTATTTAGTGTTTTGTTGGAAATATCTCCAAGAGGAAGTCGGCGTTATTCGTGATCTTGCAAACACATTGCACACGGAATATGAAGTGGATGCATCAGCAGACCTTGCGGAAGAGTTGGAACATTTGAAAGTGATTCAGTCAGCG